GTTCAACTGAATCTCATAGTTCCAATAATGATCGATGATATATATTGCATATAATCTCTGGTAAGCGAATATGGTAATCCATAATCGCATCCGCAAAATCTGTAAATCAACCCCAACCCCTCTTTATCATGTAAAATTTGCAAAGGCGTCTTTCGAAATCGTCAGTAGGTCAAATGCACATGTACATATTGTATGTATACCGAAAGCTTAATTATTTTAGCACTTAGTACTTCTTAGTGTCAATCATAGCCCGTAAAGGTGAATAAAACAACGTATGATGATCCAAATTAACGAACCATGGGGAAACAACTCTACATAACTTTATTAGTCTAACTTAGGTATGGTAACACGCCCTTACTATTGCAAACTTAAAATGCAACTTACCCGTAAGAAGAATGTCCACGCTTGCACTGGCTGAATATTTCCATTAAAACGAAATGATTCAATGATTATCAAACACACAAAACTAATTAAAGCTGAACTCCATGAATAATAACATTACACATTTGCTTAAAAATATTGTGTAGCTTTATATTAATTTTAAATGCAATGTGGGCAAATGAATATATGTAAAAGAATATAATAATAATAATAATAATAATAATAATAATAATAATAATAATAATAATAATAATAATAATAATAATAATAATAATAAAAGTATTATTATTATTATTATTATTATTATTATTATTATTATTATTATTATTATTATTATTATTATTATTGCTGTTGCTGCTGCTGTCGTTGAAAAAAGTTTCTTTTTAAAAAAGTAAATCTTCGTGTTTTCCTATTTATTTACGATAAGTTTGATCATAAGTACCGTTTTCTTATTTTTTTTTTCCATATTAGCCACCATCAAACGAAATTCCAAACTTAACTTTGTAAGGACGTGTACTTCGCAATCGGTATATGACCCATAATCATTAAACAACAGGCGACACTCTGGGTAAATTTCGTAATTAAAGCTAGACTGCACGAGTTCAAAATTAATCGGGAAACCACATTTGCCGCGATAATATAGGGTCCGCGATATTACAGCGTTGGAGTATACCATACTGAGCTGGTAGTTCCAATGACCATTATTATTTTAACTTTAACTTGTTTTCTTTCTGTTTGAAACATTACTTGCTCAAAAACAAAAAGTGTTGTGTAGTGTACTAACTGTGAATTTGTATGCCAGTGATTTACCATTTCACGAATTTTCTTCAATTGCCGTAAAGAATTTGAAAAGTCCGTATGTTGCAGTAGCTTTTGACTGATGTGTGGCGTCCTTGCACACACTTAACAATATATACATATATATATATATATATATATATATATATATATATATATATATATATATATATATATATATATATATATATATATATATATATATATATATATATATATATATATATATATATAATCAGCCCCTAGCTTCCCACCATTGTGACCATTCCGCCTATGAGGTGTCAATCAATTAGCTCTTCTAAAGTCGGTGACGCTGGTTCGAAAATCACGCTCCGTAAATATACGATCAGGTCTTTCTGATACGTACTTAGAACATGTTCTTTCAAGATCATTTCCTGTATGCCTTCGGAAAGTGGAGGCGAAGCCTGTTTATTTAATCCATTTTTCGAAAAGCACTCTCACACGAGTATGAAATCGTGTGTCTCCGTTGTTCGCTTAGGTGACTCTGGAAAGTTTGCGAAAACGTGCAGCCCACAACTCGTAATGCCGTAACAGCGCTTTCTTGAGAGCGTCGTAGTCATCTATTTCAGTGGGTGCCGTATTACGGTAAATCTTCCTTGGCAGCTACTTGCATAAATGCAGAGATATTAACGGCCTACTGGTCTTTGGGTATATGATGGATTCAAGCAGACTTTTCAAACTGCGTTATAAAGTTATCGATTATTTCGTCCTTGTCGTTAAACATCGGCATTGTTATCTGGTCGATTCGTATATTCTCTGTTCCTGTACTTGAGGGTCCTGAATGGAACGAATGTTTTGAAAGTTACTTACCTTGTCTCTTTTATAGTATGATATAAAAGATTCTATTTCAGAACGGGTCCTGGGCGTAATCTGAATTAATTATCGCACTCTTTATCACATTTTCCCTCAGGTTATTGCTATTTTCAACATTAAGTTCGTGTCAAGCACCTCTGTATTCTTGCCCAACGTTTCTGTTTTGTAACTGTAAGTCTCCTTGGTACTAGTGCGTGGTTGCAACTCGTGGCGACCTGGACCATGACCGCCTTCGCATCTGGTTAATCATAGTCTTTCTAGCATTAAGTTCCTGTACAATCATTGTAATGTCTCCTATACTCACTGCATGTTTCTCTAGAAAGGTGTTGATTGGTTTTGTTATTGGTTCCAATAAGCTACATCATCAATTCCAATGTCTCTTTTAAGTCATTGATTATACTCTGCCAAGCCAGGTCGCAAATTGTGATCCGTCCATGGCGCAATAATACTCATATATAAACATCCTCGCGAGCGTCTGCAGTTGATTCGATTCTAGATCAATGATCATTTTATACAAATTAGTCACTAGTGACATAGAAAAATAATGATGAAAAGAATTAATATTCCCCGTTTTCTAAATTAATTTAATATGGTAAACTTTTTAGTCACAATCATTGCTGCTTTCTATTCTCCCCTCCCCTCTCAAGCACAACGGACAAACTGCACAGAAATGTGGAATAGGAGAGAAAAGGAATTTGGGCTAGTTTAAAAACTTGAAATAGAATATACACCAAGTAACCTAGAATATGTCTAGTCGTAACGATACGTGTACACTTTCCTTGGGATTTATCAACAGTATTTATCAATGACACAATGTTGCAAACCAGTAAATTCCTCCGTTAATGTGTACGCATACTATGATATATTTAATGTTATAATGTTATATTATCTTTTTTTGGAATGGGGAGGTCTTAAGCATAACATAATGTTATAAAAAATCTATTATTATTATTATTATTATTATTATTATTATTATTATTATTATTATTATTATTATTATTATTATTATTATTAAAATACCCGACTCTCTCGATCGATCGATCGATCGATCGAAACTATAGAGCGCCACCTAAGCAACATCGGAAAGATGCTGGAGTTACCGTCCTTTTAAAAATGGATGAGGGTGCAAGGGAGTTTTAATGCACAAACTCGATGTTGCCTATACGTGCCTAATAAACAAATTTCATAAAAATTAAATACACGAGTGAGGTCGAAAAGGTCCATGTTTCTGGATAGGTATAGTAAACCAAAAGATAAGAATATCATTCACTTGACCTAACATGTCAGAGGAAATCCATTGAATGCACCCAGCCTCCAAATTTATACATGCATTTTTCCTGTCCGAAGGCCATTATTGAGAACACGTGATGCTCTTAGTGCAAATACAAGCCCTTTCGTAAGGCGATAATTTTGGAAAATATTGTGCAATTAATAGCTTGATGCTATTCAAAATAGCTGTCATCCAGGCAGTTGTTGGATATTCTACTTGCCTTGAGCCAACCAACGTCTCTATTGCTATATGTGGCAAGATCTGCTTCCTATCCGACTATTGGCATTTCACTGGCTACATACTGTTTAGTGTCTAAATTAGATGTACATGCTTCACATCAATTTCAAGAACAACACGAGCCAGAAAGACCAAATTCACAAATATATCCAAATCATTAATCATTACATAATCAGAACTCAAAAACACACTATAACCTAAAGTTAAGAAATTGCCTTAAGTTTCAGTAAATAGTTTTCTTTCAATAAACCTTTGTCAGCACATAACCAATGATAGTAAACCAGTCTTGTACATTGGGCTCTCCTTCTCTTCGTCAAGCACTGTTTGCATAGTATATGAAGTAGGAAAGTCCGTTGCGGTGAAGACCATTCAGTCTGTGCAATAGATCTTAGAATAGAAACTTACTCTGGTCGGCAAAAGAAATTTTCAAAGTTAAAAGACAATCGGTATGTATGTATTGAACGGTATTAAATTTAACAGTACATACATAAACTGAAAAAGAAGTAACACATTATTATTTATTTGCTGGTGATCGAATGTCACAGGTTATGCATCCTTGGGTAAAAATAAATTGTAATAGTTTATATATGAATAATATGTCTAAATAAAAAGTCTCGCTCTTGCAGCGAATTAAAGAATCCAAAACACGATTGAAACGTTATTGTTTGCAAACCTAAATTCGCTAAGAAGGAAGGCATTATTACTTGTATTCCTAAAGGTGATAAAGATAAAACCTATTTAAAAAATTGGAGACCAATAACTCTTCTTAATACTGTTTATAAAGTGCCCTTAATACTGTCTATAAAGTGCCCTCAACATGTATTGCAGATAGGATTAAAAATTGTTAGCACTGATTGGAAGCACGAAAAACAGCAACAATTGTTTGTGTACACAGTATAAGTTATGCTGGATAGATGATAGTTTCACAATACTAACCATTACATCTTCTACAGATTTAAATAACTGATAAATCTAAATTATGACAGAATATTAAATGATATAAAAACACTACTGACTCGGTCGTCTATGAGATTCTTACTCCTATGTGAAAATTACTGTGGTGAAATAATTGCATTATCAAAATTAAATCACATATTAATAAGTTAACCAAGTCTTTCAGAATGGTTCATTTAAAAAAATAGTTATATCTACAAGTACATGTGGAAAGGATCAATTGACAAAAAAGTAACGAAAGTTATTAAAAAAAGATATGAAGAAGGCGAGATGAAATGATTGATTTAAAAATTTCTTTTCTTAAAATATGTTGATAATATATTTTTGAGGAATGCTTTTATTTCTTATAATGTATACACTCAACTGTTGACTCCGAATAATATCTCAGATTTTCGTACTGAAACTCTAACGTATAACGAAAATGTCAAGATCGGAGGTTCTTTAATTTTTAGCAAAAATTAGTTTGAAAAAAGCATACTATTTATAAACTAATTCACCAGAGTAATGGACAATTCCTGCCATGGTGGACCGCTCCGGTGGCCAAGTGGTTAGAGCGTCCGCCTCAAATGCGGAAGGTCGTGGATTCGATTCTCGGTCGAGTCATACCAAAAACTTACAAAAATGGTTTTAACAGCTGTCTCTCTTGGCGCTCATCATTAACGGTTAGTGTTAGGACTGGTCGGCCTGGTGTCAGAATAGAGTGACTGGGTGGGACATCATGCCACATGTCTGAGGCATGATACCCCAGTGCTAGACATCACTCTAAATATGCCACACTGCAGACATCGTAGGGATATGACTGAAAAATGGAAAGCTACGTTAAAAAGTCCAAATCACACATCCAGATCCTTCCATGGCAAAAGTTGATGAAATATATAGTTTTGTCAGTAACGTTCTTCAATATGAGGAGGTCTTAATTATGTTTAATCGTATATGATGAACAGATTCTATATCGAATCCCAGCCAGACTTTTTGGAAAAACCTTGGATTACAAACAAGGACCTCACTTCTTGAAACTAAGAAACGTTACAGAGGTATTGAAAATATTTTGGTAAATGACAAAGAAATATTAGAAGCTAAAGCACTAAATATAAAAAGCAGGGATTCAGTTATCGGACTAACTTCAGAGCGGGACGACATATCATTGAATAACAGATTTGATTCTTTGCGATTTGATATGAAAGAACTCTGGTTTCATTTTTGTTTTATAATTTGCATTTATCGGTAAATTTCTGTTTGATCTTGGCAAGCTAGCAGTCTATTTCGGTAACAGACAAATTTTATTTTTCACTTAATTTCAATTTGCAATCAACACTCATCAATCTCTGAATATTTCCATAGTTCTCGGAAATGATTATGATTGTGATGCGAGTTAAAATCGAAGTTTAGACAATTTTATTTCTATACTTAATCAGCATTGTTTATTATAAACGTGTACAGTTTGCCATAGAGTAGATCTCTCTCTCTCTCTCTCTCTCTCTCTCTCTCTCTCTCTCTCTCTCTCTCTCTCTCTCTCTCTCTCTCTCTCTCTCTCTCTCTCTCTCTCTCTCTCTCTCCTGGACCATCAAAGCATATGTGTGTGTGTGTGTGTGTGTGTGTGTGTGTGTGTGTGTGTGTGTGTGTGTGTGTGTTGGACGTTTAACATAGCTTTAACAATTTTTAGTCACATCGCTACGATGTCTACTGTTTAACAGTTTATATCATGATGCAGACATTTAGCATCTAGTCCCACCATTTCGCATTATCCTGACACCAAGTTCTAAAACTAACCTTTTGAAGCTGAGCGCCAATTGAGGCAACTGCTAGTACCATTTTCAAAAGTCTTTGGTAGTACTCGGCATGAGTTCGAATCATCGACCTCGCGCTTCCGATGCGGATGATCTAACCACTAGGCTACCGGAACAGCCATAGACTAAAGTAAGTATGATGTTCTATATATTTGACACAGAATATCGAATTACAGCAACACGTCATACAAGTTCAGTCACTGACAGCTTTTCAAGATATATGTGGAAACTAATTATAAAAAGTTAATTCATGACGCCTGTCTTTTGTTGTTTAGGAGTCGATGTAAAGTTTTCTTCATGGCGCCTCGTCATTGATTATATAACATGTACTAGAGCGTCTACACTCTTGACAAATCTTAAGAACTATTCATCCTGATGTGGACAGAGAAAGATGAAGAGAAACATAGAGAACATAAGAACAAAACAAAATTGAATTGGCCTAAATATGGAAATAGCATACATAATGGATGATATATTTTCTGAATAAGCAAACGTAGAGGTTCCAAGAGCGATATCACGACTGTGGCGATAAACGTGATAACCACACTGACATTTTTTTCCTGCTGTCATATTTCAACAGCGCATGAAGAAATATATCATCGTAAATGAAGGTTTGGCCTGTAAAAATTCGATGTGGAAATGACAGTGATAAAACAGTTTGATTCCCACTGTGGCATGTGTCAGGGTAAATCACCGAAACAATCCTGTGGTTTTTTTCAGCTATGAGTGTTATGAACGTCTTATATGGTGTCGTGTCTGAAATGAAATTATGGTAACATGCTTAAATGTGACTGGGTGGGACATGATGCTACATGTGTGTGGTATAATGCCCCAGTGCTAGACATCACTATAAACTACCACACTGCAGACATTTAAGTGATATGACTGAAACATTATTAAAGCTATGTTAAAAATTAAAAACACACATCACACAAAAACCGTAAAGAAATATAATATCAACATGCGGACACCTTTGTTATGATATTGTTGTCATGCAGTGCAATTCAATACAGAATGACCTTTTATTCATATTATTTCCACGAGACGGGAATGTTTGGCTTGGTTTATGAAATTTCCTTTCTGCGACATATGGGGGAAAAAAATGGGCAAAACTGTTAACCATTCAGCGGCGTAGCTTTGCATTCTGCTAACATAGGTCATCATTGACATCAACGGTATTCGTTCTGACAAGCCAGTACAAATTGTGGCTCAGTGTTTAAAAGACATACGACTCTATACCCGAAGGGTGCCGATTCTTTTCTTATCAACAAATCTGTCCAGGTGGACTAATTGGCATGTCCCTGGGGAACAGATTTTATTTTACATGCAATCACACGTTGTTTCTGAGTTATGTGTTTCAGTACGTAAAATAACAAACCATGCCAATCTAATAGACTTTGTCATTGGCATTTTTCTATTCGATTACAAATGAGAAAATTATCAGTAGAACATAAACACTTGGACTAAAACTCACTTAAATAGAGTTTCGCAGTGTGTACCCTAATTATCATGTGTACTAATTAATAGCAATTTGGGATCAACACTTTTTGTACACTGGTGCTTTTTACCCATATTTTGTGCGGTATACTTCATAGCAAAACGTCAATGGCATAATGTCAATGCCATAACGTCAATGATATAACGTCAATGCCATAACGACTTCCTTGTGACCTACTTGGCTCACTTCAGTACAATTTATTTCCCTTTATTACGGCCGATCATATTAATCTGATCTTGGAGATCAGAAAATCCGGCTTAATTATGATTCCACTCTGAGCCAATAAAAACTACTTTTTTATGGTAAAGTCATTATGATCAGGTGATGCGAAATCTCAGCCTCATACACAGACTTCAAATGTGTATGCTCTTCCATCAGTTAAATACCAGTACACTACTGTAACAAGCCTGCAGCAAACTCGAAAATAATCCATGAAATTCATTCGTTAAAACTAATTTTGTGCAAGACAAAACACAGACACGACACGTGAATTTTATACTAACGTAGACTCGTGCTTTTTTAAATACATTGCTAAATTCCGAAAACTTCAAACTGATTTATCAATAAAAGATTTCTTTGTACACCTCTCTTTTGTCTGCTTGGTTTACGATTCGGTTATGATAGCGTTACCCATTTTTAGTGACGACAATATACATTATCTTCCTTAATTTTCACTTGCCGCGGATTATGATAGGGTCTGCAGTATTACTCTACCTGTCCGTAAGTACGTCCGACTTACTTCAGAAAAGTCTGCGTTTATTAGATTAACAGGAATACATTTCTTTGCCTACACGTTAAAAAAACATGTAACTTATGACCCTATTCATGAACGCCGTAAACAGCCAAAAATACGTTACATCCTTAGGCTTGAAAGCCGGCAAACGTGTCATATTTCGAATAAAAAAAAGTCGTATGACATTATGCTATTATCCCAATATAAATACATACATACATACATACATACATACATACATACATACATACATACATACATACATACATACATACATACATACATACATACATACATACACACACACACACACACACACACACACATACATACATACATACATACATACATACATACATACATACATACATACATACATACATACATACATACATACATACATACATACATACATACATTAGTATTTTCTCTCGGTGTTAGTTTTCGCTGCATATAAAGTTAGTGATTACTAATCACGTGTAAGTTCAACAACTTCTACGATAAAAAGTAACGCGTCTAATTATTATTGTCTCCCTTGGACTGATGGGAAAATTATCGTATTGTGTCACCTTGATGGTCCACTCTATCTAACACACGGAAAGAAGGAAAGCGAATTTAAACCTTTTCTTAATTTTTGTCCTTTTCATCCTAATTCTCTCTCTCTCTCTCTCTCTCTCTCTCTCTCTCTCTCTCTCTCTCTCTCTCTCTCTCTCTCTCTCTCTCTCTCTCTCTCTCTCTCTCTCTCTCTCTCTCTCTCTCTCTCTCAGAACATTGTAACCTGGTAAGCAATAATGTTCACTTTGTAACTATGCGGTCTCCGGTTTAATTCCCATACAAGATAGGCAATCAATACCACACCCTATCAAAAACTCTGCTGTTGGTTTCATTAGGAGTAAACAGTAGGTCAAATTCGAAATCATCGATGGTAATTTTAATGAGTCACATGAAGTTGCTGTAATGTTGTTGCCAAAAGTTATAAAACATGAGGAATATTGAAAAGGTTATAAATATTAGTACAACAATGTTCTTTGTTAGTGAATCAGTACAAACCCTCAATGAACCCTGTATGCCCTCTACACACTTTCTCCGCCTGATAATCGAATTATTAAATGTCATTTTCACTTTCTGGTTTATTGTTGATACAAGGGAAAACTGCACTTCCGACAGCATGGTGGCTTTAAGTCGTCTGCCTCCCGAAGAACCTTAGATAAAGGGATTAAGCCAAATATCAACTGGAGCTAAATCAGGGTTGAATGTGGGGGTCTATCAAAGTTTGGACGTTAAATGCTTTCAGTAAATATGTCACTAATATGGATTAATGCGCTAGTGCGTTGTCTTCAAGAAGAAGGATACCTCGAATACCAATACACCGATGGGTGGTTCGGTAATGATCCACAATCTCTAGCAAAACTTTAATACATAACATTGTTCAGTGATACAATCAGTCAGGCACAGGTACATGGACGACCAGGCTTTTTGCCATTGAAAAATTATCCATGTTTATATCTCGTGATAATCTAGGTCCATGTTCTCTTGTTATGTCCAATCTAAATTTCTCTTGAATATTTTTTAAGGAAACAAAAAA